GACTATCATGACTTATGACTGTGATGGGCAAGCTCCATTACAGTCATAATTCGAGGACTACCTGTACTTATAATTCATTATTAGTTCTTCTACTAAGACTGCAACATCTGGATCAGCGGTTCTCAACCTATGGGTCGGGACCCCATTTGGGGTCGATCGACCATTTCACGGGGGTCGCCAAGCATGGCTGTCCGCCATTTTTTTCCCCTTTTCCGGTGGGTGCCTTACCTCCCTTGAGCTGGGCCAGCTGGTAGTCGGCCTGCTCCGTCTCTGCCGCTTGCCAGCTACGCCTCGGCTGGCGCAGGGGGCGGAACCACGCATGCGCGGCGCTCCCAGGCAGGGAAAGTCCTCGACTTACGACCACTTGGGTAGTCCTTGACTTACAACCGGTTTAGTCCTCGACTTATGACCGGTTTAGTCCTCGACTTACGACCGGTTTAGTCCTCGACTTACGACCGGTTGGGGGTCGCGGCATTAAAAAGGTTGAGAACCACTGATCTGGATGATCATTAGATGGCAACAAAGAGGAATAGAAAATGGTAGTGCTTTGTGGTTATCTAACTGGGGATTTTGCAGTGCAACTATGGTAGCTCTACGTTCCATCATTTTTCTTATTGAAGAAAATCTGAATTTTTGGATCAAACGGAAGAACTGCACAAGCTGATTGGTATGGCAGTTTTAACATCACTCTTCTTTATTTTAAGAGGTTGTATGCAGACAATGGTGCATTGGACCGATAAACATGTTATACCTCTGCAAACATCCTTTACAATTCTCTTTTTCATCATCTTGTAATTCTACTTTTTCAAAAGCCAAAGTGCTTTTCTCACTGAAATATTGGTCTGGGCACCAGCATTTTAGCAACATTCCCACTGTTATAAAATACCTCCACTCTACTTTCAAGACAAAATGGGCAATCTCAAATATCGTTGTGTTTATTTATTAGTTTCAGAATTGTATACTGCCAACTTCAAAATAATGCTCAGCCACTTACAGCAGTAAAAATAGAAAATAAAATCGTAACATCATAAAACTATCATAAAGCAATAAAAATGAAATAATCATGTCATTAAGTAATACCAACCATCAATTCCATCCTAGATAATAGTGTTGCAAGCAGGCCCCTAGTACCCAAAGGCCTAAAAATGGGTTTCTATCAATTTTTCTGAATGACAGCAGGAGAGGAACCATTTGAACCAAGGAAGTTACCAAGGAATTCTGCATCCAGACCTCCTCATAATTTGGGAAACATTAGAGGAGGAAATTTAAATCCTCCTCCTTTAAGCTGAATGGTCAAAACTAGTATGTCCCATTCATGAGAGATGATCCTGAAATCTCTGGTCCTCAAGCCAATTTTCTCCTCTAACTTTCCACCAGTTAAAATGAAAGGTGTCTTAGAATAGGTAGAAGCTTGCTAAAGAGAGATCCATTTAGGAGTAAGGATGTTCCAAAGGTGCCTATTTCAGGAGGAAACTGGACTTTCTTGTTTTTTCTTTCAAGACATTTCACTTCTCATCTTTACCTCTGTCCTCAGGGTCACCTGAGCAGTGCCAATGTGTGTGGAGCCTTCTTGGCTGCTGGATGTTTTCTGCCTCATGTCCCTTCACTGTTGAAGACAGGTGCAGGCTGTTGGGGATGAATCTGTGTTGTCTGCCTCTCAAACTGAAGCTCAAATGGTTCCTGTAGTCCGCAATGTTTTCTGGAAATCCATTCATACTCCTACACCATTCGAAGGGCAAAACTCACATAACAACTATCTCGCTTAACAATAGAGATTTTGGGCTCAGCTGTGGTCACAAGTAGTGGTTTTAGATAATGACTATTTTGTATTTCTACTGTTTTATTGTTGTATGCGGCCCAGAGTTGCTTTCTGTGAGATGTGTGGCCATATAAATTTGATTAATAAAATAAATAAATACACAAAATAAATATATTGTACATTGGAATAAAGAATAATTGCTTTTCAGCAATTTTTATTACTGCCGGTGAGAGTGGCAAATAAAAAAACATCTTATAATAAACATAGAAACTTTTATAAGTTCCTCTAGTGGATATATTAAATATTAAAGAATATGTTAAAGTATTAAGCTTAGTCTTATGAGTTTTTAGATTCTGTATCTTAAGATACATATTCTGTATACATCTGGCCTTAAAGGCTAGAAATTTGGAATTCGATCCTTTTGTAAGGTCTGAAAGATTGGGGGTAACTCACCCCCTCCCCATTTTTTTCTTGCTCTGTTCAAAGTTAGAGTAATATTCGGTTATATGGCTGAGCAGCCCCATTAGCAGGAACTTGTTGCTTTTCATCACAAAGATGAAAACAGTATCATGATGTTGCAATGCAAGTGCTGATGTTTTTAGACATGTGTGTGATGTGGTGATGCATTAGAAAAAGAGGCAGTGTTGGTATTGCAACACCATGGCTTCCATCAGTTCACATCCTGTTCCATACCATAGCTGGGACGGCTTAAAGGATTGCAGTAACTGTTATGATATTGTTTTCATTAATTTTACTGGGGAAATGACATCTAAGGATAGAATTTAATCAAATAAAAAGCAACAATCCAGCAGATCATGTTGCACATTAAACCATACAAGGACCCTTGCAAATAGCTTAGTTAACATAATTGCCCAACAGCCTCAAGAGGAGGCAAAGTTCTGAAGAAGATCTGAAGAAAATTCGTTCCACAGTTTAGGGGTGGCAGAAAAGGGACTTCCTCTGTGTTTGAGAAGAAGGCTTCTAAGAGCAACAGTCTTCTCAGATGATTTAGTTCTGCCATTCTTTATAAAATGACAGGTTCATAATAAGAATAACGGGTCCTTGGCGAGGAATGTTGCATTTAGACTAGCTTATAATTATTCAGATTCACCAGGTCAAGGGAGATTTTTTTTAATAGAGAGTATTCTAAGCAAGAAGAGACAGCTCCATCTTTCATTTCTTTTTGAGAGACTTAAAGGGAGATTTTGGCTTTCCTGCTTGCTGTCTATCTCAGCCCTGGTCATAGCTGAGTTGAGTGGCTTATACATTTAAACAATGTGGAAAAATTGTGAATAATCAATTTGTAGCTTATAGCAAAATGGTAAAAACGATGCAGCAACTGATTGAAAGCAATATATAAGAAGTTGAGTTTATAGACATTTATGGCCTTAATATGGATGATTGACAAAATTAGTGCTTCCTCAGGAATCCAAGGTGAGAATTGTGTCAACAGTCATCTTGGTCAAGTATGCCATAGTTCATACTCAATGAACTCTCTGGTTGAAAGCCAGCATAAACACATGATCTCCTTCTAGAGGGCTCCAGGTTCAAGCCCAATAATATCAGCTGCAATTGGAAAATTTATTCTGTGAAACCTGGAGACATTCTATTAGTCTATGCTTCTAAAATAACAACAAATAGACAAGTGCCCTGATTAAACTTTTTCTATTTCTATATGCACCTTCCAGATCTTGACTGCAGTGCCTCTATACCTAGGGTCCCCAATTTGGCATCCAAGATGCTCACAAACATCTCTCTTGGCACACAATAGGCTTCCAGATTTTT